GGGGAGGTGGTTCTGACTTGTTCTCTGGGGGAGGGGGAGGTGATGATGCTGCTGAGTTGTTGTCTGGGGAGGGGGAAGAGGTTGTGGTTGTGGCAGTGGTGGTGCTGTCAATGGTGCTGACTTGTTGGCTGGTTCTCTGTTAGGTGCAGCAGGGATGCTTCTCCCATTTCTCTTTCTCTCACTGGATGCACAGGACCCTGTCCAGGCCGGTGCCTCAGAGCGTGGAGGAGGTTTTCCGTCAACACTCTCACTCCACCTCTGCTTAGGTGTGGGCCATTTCCCTCGAACAGGTCCTTCCGTTTCCAAAAAAGATCAAAGTTCTCAATGTAGTGCAATCCTCTGGCCGTGCACACATTCAGCAGCCACGTGTTCAGCTGAAACAGTCGGGTAAATTTGTTCCTGTTCCTTAGGTCTATGTTGGGAAGAGGTCCACTGATAAATGTCTTAACCTCCACTTTATTAAGCTCCTCGAATAATATAATATAATATCGTGGACTGTCACAATATCGAATTCATGGTAACAGCTTCTAAACATCATAAACTACATATCCCATGATTCATTTCAGTGCAGACAACATGAAGAAATATGGTTTTTACTTGAATTCTTTGGATTATGATGGAAATAATCGATCACCGCACGTGACTAAGAGTCCTGCCCGGGTCCATTTTTAGAGACCCGCACTCGCCCAGACCCGTTAACATTCCACCCGTTACCGCCCGTGCCCGTGATGACCCAGGACTAACCCAGGACTAACCCAGGACTGACCCAGGACTAACCCAGGACTGACCCAGGACTGACCCAGGACTGACCCAGGACTGACCCAGGACTGACCCAGGACTGACCCAGGACAGACCCAGACCCAGGACTGACCCAGGACTGACCCAGGACCCAGGACTGACCCAGGACTGACCCAGGACTGACCCAGGACTGACCCAGGACTGACCCAGGACAGACCCAGGACTGACCCAGGACTGACCCAGGACAGACCCAGGACTGACCCAGGACTGACCCAGGACTAACCCAGGACTAACCCAGGACTAACCCAGGACTAAACCAGGACTGACCCAGGACAGACCCAGGACAGACCCAGGACTGACCCAGGACTAACCCAGGACTAAACCAGGACTAACCCAGGACTAACCCAGGGCTAACCCAGGACTAACCCAGGACTAAAACCAGGACTAACCAGGACTAACCCAGGGCTAACCCAGGGCTAACCCAGGGCTAACCCAGGACTGACCCAGACTGACCCAGGACTGAACCCAGGACTGACCCAGGACTAAAACCAGGACTGACCCAGGACTGACCCAGGACTGACCCAGGACAGACCAGGACAGGACCCAGGACTAACCCAGGACCAACCCAGGACCAACCCAGGACCAACCCAGGACTAACCCAGGACTAAACCAGGACTAACCCAGGAGTAACCCAGGACCAACCCAGGACTAACCCAGGACTAACCCAGGAGTAACCCAGGACAAACCCATGACTGACCCAGGACTAACCCAGGACTAACCCAGGAGTAACCCAGGACAAACCCATGACTGACCCAGGACTAACCCAGGACTAACCCAGGACAAACTCAGGACTAACCCAGGACTGACCCAGGACTGACCCAGGACTAACTCAGGACTAACCCAGGACTAACCCAGGACAAACTCAGGACTAACTCAGGACTAACCCAGGACTAGCCCAGGACTGACCCAGGACTAACCCAGGACTAAGGTGCACCCGCGTAGACCATCTGGTGAAAGGAGCGGCGTAGAGTTCTGCGCCACATGGAGTTAAGTGCAGCCATCGCCCGATCGCACTTTGTGGAACCTGCTCTGCGTGCTCGTGCTTGGGGTTCTCTCTCTCTTAAGTCCGCGGGTGTCCGAACCGGTCCAGGACTCTGACCCGAGCTGCCACAGTGAGAGCTGGAAAGATGCAGCGGCACTCGCTCCAAAGCCAAATGTTACTTCTCACACTACACAAACACTATATCCACACGACAACCAAGGTACATGTGCATCTGCAACAAGTGCATCATCGGAGAGTTTTCAGAGCCGCTGGAAATATTATAACTCTGGGGAATGTGGGGTGGGGGAGGGGGTGCGATATCATCAGAAAAATTCCCTAACCGTGACAGCCCTGTGTATATTTGAGCCGTCTTTGTAGAAAATAACACACATTCACCAAGACAGGGAGGAAACGCCGAGCGAATTACACCACGATCTGCTGATGGATCGTAGACGCCTGGACTAAGGATCAGTTTCAAGTGTCGTCCATTTGTTTTGCTTAAAGGTTGTATGGAGGATTTTTTTTGTTTCAAATTGTCAATGATAGCATTATAGAGATGCAGTAGCCTTGTAATTATGATGACCAAAAAAAAGAACAACTCTGGACGTGGTGGGGCTAAAACATTTGCCAATAGATAATGACACTGCCTCGTTATCTGTGAGCTGACAGGCTGTCAATCAAACTCCCTACGTTTCTAGTGTAACTGACTGGCCTGCGTCGCCGGTACATGGTTTACGTACGACTGTCACACAGTCCACAGACGCAAGACGCACAGACGCTGTTTACTCCACCAACGCAACAGTTCTTAGCGGCTTTTTTTGACCTATATCTTCCTCGCAGTTCACACAAAGTTTGTTGCAATGGCGACAAGAATCCAGGAGCAGTTCGCCGCAAAAGAAAGTCCGTTTTTGAGGTCGCTGAAAGAAGAAGACAAGGGGAAAAGCAGCGAAGCCAAACTAAGGTGATTCTTGAAGATTCATTCCAGCGATGGCGCGACTGAAGCAGACGCAGGGTCTAAAGACTGACACACTGGTCCACAAATTACTCCTGGACAGGAAACTTCTGCTTATTATGAAAACGTACTTTATTTCCAAGAGTTAGACAAACGTTTTTCAGGACACGAAAGCGATATCCTATGTCTGAAAACATAATTTTCAAGGCAAAGAAAGAGTCCGCTTGCTGCTGCGTGTTGTAGCTAGTTCATTCGCACTGAATCTCCGTGCAACCTTCTCTGCACCCCTTTCCTGCTCCTCTCCCCACTGCCCGTTTTGCTCCTCCCCCCGCTCCTCACTTCTCCGTCTTGTCTAACCAACACTGTAGTTGGTTGTTTACAAGTCATGTGCAGCGCACCGGCTGTAAACAAAACCTGTTTCTGGCGTAAAGAGGAGGCGGGAGGAGGCGTTTCTACGTAGGAGCTGTAGGGGAGGGGGGGGTTTCACGCATGCGCAACATTTGAAAAAAGGACAAACAGTCGCTGGATTTCTCGTTCCTTGGAAAATCCTCTATACAACCTTTAATGCTCTTTATAATCCGGTGTGATTTATGTACGAAAATAGACGAGATAATTCAACATTACTGATGTTGCGCCTCATAATCTGAAAAATGAAGTTAGACTTGATGAATTAAATGCCCTTTACCAGTGAACATGTGTCATTTTGATGCCTAACTTTGTGCACTAATAAATGGATAATGGTTCATGGTTTATAGGCGTCGAACTGTATCTTATCTAAGACTTCACCCACAGCCGTGTATGAAAGCAGAGTGTGTGTGTGTGTGTGTGTGTGTGTGTGTGTGTGTGTGTGTGTGTGTGTGTGTGTGTGTGTGTGTGTGTGTGTGTGTGTGTGTGTGTGTGTGTGTGTGTGTGTAGTGGTTTAGTAGCTTATATCACCGAGTGTGGAGTGGATGAATAATGCAATGTCAAGTGCATTTTGGTGTTCACGATATTTTTAAAACCTTGTTCCTTATTTTTATCTCTCTCCATTTGTCGCTGTGTCCAGTGTACAGAGCGACCGATGTGGGTTTTTCGTGGCCCATGTCGATACCAGTTGTTTAGAGTCCAGAGAAATCGACGGCCGATAAGTTCTGCCGATATTTTTAGGCCGATATGTAGGTCAGATTTGGATTATTTACGCCCATTTTTTTATTAATTTACTGCACCTACAGTTCCTTTTCACCACAAACCTTCAAGAGGCCTACAGAGTCACATTTTGAGCAGTTTTCTCTTTGCAGTGTGTTCAAAAAAAGCTTTATGTTTATACTTTAGGCAGCAGGTCGGCCAAAACAAAATATTGGCCTTTGCTGGAGATTTAAGGCTGATGGCAAATTAGTTAAAAAGTCACGATTTGAGTAAATTTCACTTGACAATTCGTTTTTCAATATAAAACCAAAAATAAGAAAACAAACAAAAAAACTTTCTTCATTATTTGTCTCCAAAACCAAAATCGATTTGTTTTTCAGTTTTCGATTTTGTGTTTAAATGAATAATGGAAAAAACTTTTCCGTTTCCCATTTTCGTGACTTAAACTGCGATGTCCGGACTGAACCAGGACTGAACCAGGTCTAAACCTGACCAGAACCAGACCGGGACTGAGCCCAGGACTTAGATCGGGACCAGACCAGTACTGAGTCTGGAACCAGGACCAGGACTGAGACCGGGAACAGGACCGAGACTGAGACCGGGACTCAGAATGGGACCAGACCAGGACCAGACCGACCAGACTGGGACTTAGACTGGGACCAGACTTGACTGAGACCAGGACCGGGACCAGACCGGGACTGAGACCGGGACCAGACAAGGACCAGACCGACCAGACTGGGACTTAGACTGGGACCAGACTTGACTGAGACCAGGACCGGGACCAGACCGGGACCGAGACCGGGACCAGACAAGGACCAGACCGGGACTGAGACCAGAAACAGGACCGGGACTGAGACCGGGACTAGACTGGGACTCAGACTGGGACTCAGACCATGACTCAGACCGGGACCAGACCGACCAGACCAGATCTGAGACCAGGATCAGACTGGGACTGAGACTGGGACCAGACCGGGACTGAAAACGGTTTAGTCCTGGTTTAGTCTTGTTTTAGTCCTGATTCAGTCCTGGTTCATTTTCTTATTTTGACAAATGACCAAAAAGTGAATTTCTTTTATTGCGATATTACACAACAGCAATAAATAATTACTCATCTGTGTCGTTTGTTTTGTTTTGTGTTTCCAGATGAGATCACAAACAGTTTCCGTCGGTTCGGACACTTGGTGGTGGACTGGCCGCACAAAGCTGAGAGCAAATCCTACTTCCCTCCAAAAGGTAAAACATTCCCACACACGCTCCTTTCTTTCCCATCCGACACAGAATCCGCGGTAACAAACATCTCGACGTGAGGCGGGGGCTCAGGTGTCCCAGGACTCACGGCTCCTGCGGGGCCGGCGTGGAGGGTTCTGTTGATCTAAGCGGACTCCTGAGCGGGTCCGGCCTTAAGGTAAAAAAACTCGCTGGGTTTCAGATAACATCACAACATTCTTCAGCTCTGTTATTTACTACGGGGCCGCGGTTTCGTCGTGAACTTGTACTTTCTCTGGTGCTGCTCTGGATTCTCTTGGGCTGTGCAAGTTCAGACCTGGTCACCTGGTCCCCGAAGGCTTGACCGGGTTTTGTATTCACCTCGTGTGTCTTTGCGTGTGTCCACCCACGATGATTCTGCCATTTACTGTCACCAAATTTGGTACGTGGGTCAAGCCCCCGTGCCCGATGACGCAAAAAAAGTTTGGTGACGATCCGAGGACATTTGAGGTCACACGGGTCATTATAAAGATGTAGGCAATTTCAAGCCCGCGCCAACTACCCACCTGGTTTCATTCACTCCGCACCGGTTCCCCGCTCTGTTGCTCGCTCCCCGTCCGTCCGCTCCGGTCCCCGCTACATATTTTCCGTCCGCTCACCACCGCAGTAGCCTTGGGTGCACACAAGTCCGCTGCCAAATCATTCACATCCATAACTTTGTCTTCCATCCACCTTTCCTCAGTATCCATCTCCTGTCCTCACGCCCCACTGGCACCGATCCCGCACTTCCTGTTTCCGGTTTCGTGCGCGGGACCTTAGCATATCGATATATCGTATAGTTTATTATGATGATACAGTATCGATTTCATAGGCTGCTGTATCGATATATTGCCAAGAGTATTTTTTGGTATATTTTACTAAATTATTTTGTCACAGTTCTACAGTTTTGTTGTTTGTTTAGTGGAAGGAAGCTTGTTTATGTGACACATTTGACATTTTCACTGTTTTAATGATTAAAATGTTTGTGTTTCATATGAACTTTGCACAAGAAGTGGTTTAACAAAGACTTTTAGTATCAGTTATCACTTCTAGTGTCATTTAGCTATTATTTTTATTAAACTGTATCGAACTGATTTGAAATATATCGTGTCGAATCGTAAGCTCACTGTATCGGGATATGTACCATTTCGTGACCTGTGTATCGAGGCATGTATTGTATCGGCAACTTCTTAATGATACCCAGCCCTAGTCAAATATGTGTTTTTGGTCATAACTCCACGAAGGATCGAGCTGGAGCAACGGGAGAGTCTCAAAAGCTCAGAAAAATGGTAAATGGTCACATTTTTCTATAGCGCTTTTCCACCTTCAAGTCACTCAAAGCGCTTTACAACAAGGAACCACTCACCCATTCACTCACACATTCATACACCAGTGTACGCAGACACTGTGGGCAAGGTGGGTTAAGTGTCTTGCCCAAGGACACAACGGCAGCATTCATCTGTGGGAGCTGGAATCACACCAGTCAACCTGTGGGTCATTGGAATTGAACCACCAACCTTCAGATCAGTGGGCGAATGCTCCACCAACTGAGCTACTGCCGCCCGAGAAAAAAAATATCATCTATTTATAATTCTATGCATTTGTATAGTCAAATATGAATAGTTTTCTAGAAAATCACTAATTATAACAGTTCTTTTCTCTTTCAGTGTAGCCGTTAAAATTCTTATTAGAACGACAAATCATTTCCATTTCTTATTTTTCTGGTGATACACGACGACACACTGATCTACAGTCACACAACTCATGAACAGTGACATTTTCATTACACACTAGTAAACACAGACCAATATCACACACATGTTCACGGGCCTGTACACATACACACATTGTGGATATAATGATCATGTGATATGGACTGGGCTCCTCATAATCTGCTTCTGTGGTGATGAACTGACCCACCGACGCCTCATGGGGACCAGGTTGTTGTCTCTGATTGCACTTGTTTAGTCTTGGAATAATCCTTCGTTAAACCTTTTTTAGACTTTGGTTAGAACGTGATTTAGTTAAATAATCTGCACAATTTACACCGCCAAAAGTGTGTAGTAGATAAAGAGCCATATTACGCTATTTTCTGATCTGTGTTTTAATGTTGTTTCCTCGTCAAATGGAAAACACTCTGTTCCACCTTGTGATGCCATCTTGTAATACAGGAACTGCTCCACTGTGTTTTTAAACTCCATGCAGCTTCACTAGAATCATTTGGATGATTTCAGACATTGAATTGCCAATTTCTACTGAACTAAAGGTAAAAGGGAAAACTACCGCTTCATGACATCACAAGGTGGAACAGAAGAAAGCATTTTGAGCTTTGGAGATGTAGACAGACTAATAATAAAGAGTTACACAAATGTGTGAATGAAAAAAAAACACGACTCGAGGTATGTTTTTGGTGAGGAGCAGCTTTCTAACATGGCTTAAAGCCAGTGTCACAGTACACGAGACTGGTCCAGATTTTTACGGTCTCGGTCTCGTCTCAGACTCATAGTGTATTTGGACTCGGTCTTGTCTCGGTCTTGATGGCGTTTGGTCTCGGTCTTGTCTCGGTCTTGATGGTCTTGGTTTGGTCTCGGTCTTGTCTTGGTCTTGATGGTGTTTGGTCTCAGTCTTGTCTCAGACTTGATGGTGTTTGGTCTCGGTCTTGTCTCAGACTTGAGGTCTAATACTCGACGAGTGCGATTATATTTCACTGTTTTTCTGGGGGATTAAAGAAGAGGTTCTCAAACTGTGGGTGAGTGTTTAAGTGCAGTACAGTTTGTTTGGCTTATTTTAAGTTTAAATAACATTAATCAGATCAAATGGAGACAGATTTATAAAAACATTGATATTTGTGTGTCAAAATACACACAAATACAAAAATACATGTATGTGAAATACAAATAAATGTAGAAAATAACAAAAAGATTGTCTTAATTTGGTCTTGATGGGCCGTGGTCTTGGTCTGGTCTCGGCCTCGATCTTTAAAAGTCTTGATCTCGACCCTCAGAGGTCTTGGTCTTGTCCTGGTCTCGGGACCCTGTGGTCTCGGACTGGTCTTGGTCTTGTTTAGTTCGGTCTTGACTACAACACTACTTAAAGCTCAATTTTTCCTAATATTGGACCTTTAAATTTACATTTCCTGAAGTAACTTTTCATCCAATTGTCTGAGTAAACATTCTAAACTGTTTTAATAAGTGAGAAGATTAAATTATTCGAACATTTATGTTATAAATTCCTGTGTTTTTTGGATTATAAGGCACAATATCAATAATGTTGAATTCTCTTGTCTATTTTCATACATAAGGAGCACTGATTTTTGAGAAAATGAAAGGATTTTAAGTGCGCCTTATAGTATAAAATCAGATCCTTCATCCAGGCCATTTTTTTGACATTCTTTTCAAACTTACTTGAGTAATTAGTAGTGCTGTCAAGCGATAAAAAAAAATTGAGAGATTAATTAATTATGATCTGTAATTAAATAATCTAATTAATCCCTTTTAATCTCACCTAAAAATTGCAGAGAAAACCTGAACTTGAGGTATTTTCATTTAAATTCATTATTACATTATTTTCATACTATCATTAATGTTTTTATATAAGTATCATCATTATTATTACTGTTACTAATCTGCATAAATAAACTCAACTTTACAACATATAAACATAAACCCTCTAGAGCCACAACAGCCCGTTTGACATTATAATGTGTTTAATGCAGATTTGTGCAAGTCTCACAGAAACGAAACTTAAAACTGCATCGCTAATTTGCATAAACTAAGTGGAGAAAAGAAAAAAAAAAACGCTCTTGTGTTGCTGATGTGATTCAGCTTCTGTCAGACTAAAGGACACGACTCAGTGGAATATAGATGTTCTTTCTGTGACAGAGGGATGTTGATGATGGTGAAGGTGAGTCTGTTCTGCGTCTGTGTTTCGATGTTTTCAGAGATCAGACGTGTGCAGGTTTTTTCGCAGATGCGGCGAGAACGGGAATGAAAATTAGGCTACAGTTCTTTGCGGGAGCGAGCGGAGCAGGACTGCACAGTGCGGGAACGTGTCCTAACAACACATAAAAACAGATTTTATAATTCACATACAGAAACAGTAAAATTAGAGATTAAAAAATAAGATTAACACGATTAAAAAACATAACGCACTAAATATGACTGTAATTAATTAATCGCAATTAACGCGATAATTTGACTCCCCTAGTAATTAGTATTTATTAAAGGTTGTATAGAGGATTTTCCAAGGAACGAGAAATCCAGCGACTGTTTGTCCTTTTTCAAATGTTGTGCATGCGTGAAACCCCCCCCCCCCTCCCCTACAGCTCCTACGTAGAAACGTCTCCTCCCGCCTCCTCCTTACGCCAGAAACAGGTTTGTTTACAGCCGCTGCACATGACTTGTAAACAACTAACTACAGTGTTGGTTAGGCAAGACGGAGAAGTGAGGAGCAGGGAGAAGAGCGGAGCGGGGAGAGAGGAGAGAGGAGAGGAGAGGGGAGCGGTGCGCGGAGATTCCGGGCCCGGACAAGTGAGGAGCAGGGGGAAGAGCGGATCGGGCAGCGGGGACAGGAGCAGGAAAGGGGTGCAGAGAAGGGTGCGCGGAGATTCAGTGCGAATGAACTAGCTACAACACGCAGCAGCAAGCGGACTCTTTCTTTGCCTTGAAAATGACGTTTTCAGACATAGGATATCGCTTTCGTGTCCTGAAAAACGTTTGTCTAACTCTTGGAAATAAAGTACGTTTTCATAATAAGCAGAAGTTTCCTGTCCAGGAGTAATTTGTGGACCAGTGCGTCAGTCTTTAGACCCTGCGTCTGCTTCAGTCGCGCCATCGCTGGAATGAATCTTCAAGAATCACCTTAGTTTGGCTTCGCTGCTTTTCCCCTTGTCTTCTTCTTTCAGCGACCTCAAAAACTGACTTTCTTTTGCGGATAACTGCTCCTGGATTCTTGTCGCCATTGCAACAAACTTTGTGCGAACTGCGAGG